CCCTTTCAGCTATACATGACCAAATGTGGATTTTATAATTTGATAGAATGAATATATTGCCCTTGTGAACTAAAAAAGAGGCATTTTTACAACTTCAGTAACATTGCTAACAAGTCATATAACGTATTAATAACTCTCATAATGCTATTAACTACAAGTCATATACATGACCAAAGGGCTTTTTTTTTTTTTACACTTTGAGATATGAGTCAGTGCATAATAAAGATCAAGTTTTCAATGCACTATATTGTATTCAAGTCAACCCCGAGTCTTGGCTAAGCATAGTGAATTAAAACAAGACGAGTGGTTGATGTTTATATAATGGCAGCAGGATATAAGATTTTAAACTATTAAAATTTGGTTGTAACTCAAAGCTATAGGAAGCAAATGATTAATGTTTTCTTAAAACTTTTATAAGGATATTGGTATAACAATTATTAAATTAAACTGTTAAAATTTAATCAAAATAATTTTAAACTACATTGGAAGGAAGTGGAGATAAACTGTAATGTAAAGAAACGTGCCACATCCAACCACAAAGTAGTTGTTAGTATTATTAAAACAACCCTTTTGAAGATAAAGCCACATCGATTTTTTCGTGGCTTCAAACAAGAGAGGTTGTTAGTTATAACTACATGCATTTATTATGATGGCATCGGTGAAAAAATATATCTTTATTATGTGGATGGAAAATATATCTACCACATGATCAATTGTATGTTGCAATATTACGAATGGTTGAAGATATTGAATGCATATGATGAATGGGTGGCTCTGTAGAGAGAATCACCAGAAAATAATTAGTGCTGGGCACAACAAGCATTTATTATGATGGCATCAGTGAAAGAATATATCTTTATTTTGTGTGTGGATCGAAAATATATCTACCACATGATCAATTATATATTGTAATATTACGAATGGTTGAAGATATTGAATGTACATGATACATGGGTGGCTCTGTATAGGGAATCACCAAAGAATAATTAGTGCTGGGCACCGCAAACAGGTAGTTTGGATGTTGGCCAATGTAAACCATATTTTCAATATTTTCATATATCATTCAATTTCTAGAGAAATTCTTGTATACATCTAGAGTACCACCTTATTCATGCACTCGCCATTAAAATTTTGACAACTCAAGGAATCCTTATCCTACATGTTAGTTAAAATTAGTATTTCTAGGGTAAACAAGGTTGAACAGTAATAGTAAGCCAAGCCAAACCAAATTTAATTTCAGCTTTTTGATTCAATTACTTCAGTTTTCAGGTAAATATTCAGTCTTTGGTTTTTGATAATTCAGTTTTTGGTATTCAATTCAGTTATTGAAAAGAAATTATTATGATTGATCCGATTGACGATACAAAGAGTGTGTCTGTCATTTTAATAGAGATGGTTTTACCCCGTCGGATATTTATGCTAGTATCTAGAGCATGGAATATATAAGATGGATTCTAAAGTATTAAAACTATAATTCATATTTAATATTTAGATCCGGCACCTGTACTTCCGGGCTTAAAATTTTTTTTCAAGGAGTTAGAGGTTATAATAAATCAAAAGATTTTGATTGTTTCAAACTACCACTTATCCTTTTTTAAATCAAAGGACAAACATTTATTTGGACTTTTTCTAATATCTATTCATTAAATAAGTGATGATCAAATAGTTCTTAGGAAATTTCTGGACTTAGGGGGTGTTTGGGTAACCCCAAAAGTACTTCTTAAAAGCACTTTTCCGCAAATTGAAGCAAAGTCTACCACATATTTACTTCGTATACCATAAAAACACTTTTAAAATTATGATTTTGTTTTTACCCAAACACCCCTTAGATTAAAAGTTTTATTAAGTCATCGTAGTTTTAGTATGAATATAAGGTTTTTTTTTTAATGGGTTAGGGTCTTAACAAGAGAACTCCTATCACTAATAAAGAAGAAAGAAGAATTATAAAGAAAAGAATTCCTTTAGTTAAAATTAAAAAAAAGTATTTCTTTAATTTTGTTAATTAAAAAAAGAACTTTTCTTCTTTCTATGAAAGAAAATCTAACAAACCCATCTATTTGATGAAGGAAAAAAATTCCTATGGAACGAAAATAAATAGATCCATTTATTCATGATTAGATATTATATTTGTTTGATACATTGTTGTTAATATTAATGTTGAAAAGGTGAAAATCCAAAAACCAAAATACTCTGTAATAAGTTTATATTTAATAAATATTAGCAGATTCATTAACTTACGGAATTTGATTAATTGGGTCTCCTTAAAAAGAAAATGTTGTAGATTATATGAGTCAAGTCAACCTCTCAAGTCTTGGCTAATTATAAAGAGCCTTTCTTCATGCAAAATCCTCCCAACCTCACATGGCTTCTTTGGTGAGTGATGTAGAGTAGCTTCATCTTCAATTCGAAGTCAGTAGGAATGGCTTATTAGTTGGACGGGGTCTACTTGTTTCTATTGTATTGTCAATAATAATACTCCCTCCGTTCCTTATTATAAGAGACATTTGATGCTTATGGCATGTTCCTATATATAAGAGACACTTAAAAGTTGTCTCTACTTTTTTGTATTGATTTCCTATTTTACCCATATTTATTGTCTCCAATTCACACTCTCTCTCCTTCCCACTTCTCTTTCTTTTAATAATTTACCATGGTTCTCTCTCATACTCTCTCTCCTTATTAATGAGGGTATTTTTGGGAAAAAATTATACTTTTTACACATTGATTGTTCTTAACTAATTTTAACTGTTTTTTTGATCAACGTAATTCGGTTATTCGTCTCTTATAATAAGGAACGGAGGGAGTAATATTTATACGTACATATATATTTGCAGACATAAAATAAATGCATGTGATTAAAAGTTGCAACCACCCAACAAAGAAAAACCCATGTGAGGTTCGGTGGATTTTGCATGAAGAAGGACCCTCATAATTAATTATCGAAGACTTGAGATTGACTTGTCTCCTGCATAAACAAGGCGTAAAGCACTTTGTTGGACAAGTTTACAAGTGAAGTTGGAATATATTCTCTTTATTTTCCCCAACATCAATCAAACCATCAGGCTAGTAATCTCTTTTCTAATTTATGCTCGTTTTAAAATTTTGTGTTAACACTTATTCCATTCTATAACTTTGTCTTCACGATCAGGTTCATAAGCTTATCTCAAGCATTGAAAAAGATTAAACTTTTTTTTATTTATTTATATGCATCACCATGCCATTACTGCGTGTATGTATCCACTAAAAAAGGGGGGTTTTTTGGGGGGCGGGCCCCCGGGGGGAATTAAGGTTAATTAGTGTATAAAGCAGATTATGGTGTTCGAGGTTCAATAATGGAGAAAGCGAGGATAACGTTTCAAGATTATCTTTACACTTCAGTTTCCTAGATTCATTAATCCAAGCTTATAGGTTAGCTATCTTCTTTCTTGTATTATTTCATGTAATGTGATTTCTACAATCAAACTTGTTTCACCATTTTTGAAATTTTTGTGCTTTCTTTCCTCTTTCCATTCTGTACTAACTATCAGATTAGAGGATCATAATTATAGCAACAAATGGGTAAACTTTTATTTGTAACGATTTGTGAGTGAAAAATTAAACTAATTGTTGTGTGAATAGACTTGACTTACATTATCATGCATATTGCTATAGGGCCCAGCTAGACTCTTCTCGTTCCGGATGCTTACCCAAACCCAGCAAGGAGTCTGGTTTTTAATTTGTGGAAAATATAAGGGCTTATTTGGTGTTTTATTTTGAAAACGATTTTTTTTTAAAAACAGAAAAATAAAAAAAAATTGTTTAGTAATTTGCTTTTAGTTGACTGTTTTAAAAAACAAAAAACAGTAACATGTCTTTAAAAACCAAAAAACTAAAATAACTTTTACATGTTTTCCTGCAGTTTTTGTTTTTGTATTTTGTATTTTTTTGTTTTGACAAGTTTTGATAAATCTTATTCTCTTCTTACCTACCATCTACTACTTATTATTACCAATGACAACTATCAACTACCCAGTGTGGTTTTCTATGATCTTTTTTTCAAACATGATTTTTTAAAATTATTATCTAAACAAATTCTTTTGTTTTTTGTTTTCAAGACTTGTTCTAAAAAACAATTTTATAAAATTGTTTTGAGAACAAGAAAATAAAGAACAAAAACAAACAAGTCCTAAGTTTCACTCATTTTAATCTGCTCATGAAATTGATATGCTATATTTTAATTATTCTAAAAGGGTACTTCATTCTGGATTAATTTTAATGAAGGAAAAATTCGTTTAAGAATACAAACTACCATTCCTTAAAAATCCTGAAGTAGTTAATTTGCCCTATGATTAAGAATGAAGAAAATATATATGATTTAGGTTTTAAATTGTTTTTTTTTTAGCGCAATGATGTTTTTGGCCTGGTCAATCAGATACCATGGTAATGATAAATTAAGGGTATAAATCCTTCTAACAAGATTGGAATAGAAATATATGCTGAATTAGTTTTCCAAGTTAGCTCATTCAAAACTCAAAAATAATGAAATTTAGGTTCTTGCTAAATTAATTAAATCATAAGGTAAATCATCTCTTTCTTCTTTCACTGTTTCTTCTCTTGTATTTCCTGCAACGTCTGCAATCAACCTTGTTTTGCTAACTTTGGAATATGTGTATTGTTTTTCTGTTCCATTTTAAAATAATGCTACCATCAATTGTAAATCAAATCTACAAGTTGAGTTCAATAGGATAAACTTTTCCTTTATATGCTTGCTTGAGTGAAACAAAATGTCAAGTTGATTTGTCAACAAAAAGACGTCAATATATAATGTCCTTCGCAATCTTTTAAACTTGTTTATTTTGAAGCAAAGGAAGATGATTTGGTCGAACTAAACCTCTTACTTTGGATCTCTAATTAATAAGTTAATTCATCAGATTGATACTTTGAATGTATTACAGATCCATCAAAAGATGAAGATGAAAGAGGGTGATTCATTGTTAAACTTGAAAGCCCAGTTAGACACTATGGGCTCCACGGAGCCTCTCTCAGCATCATGTTGCATCTACGGAGTACCACCAAGCCTTCGCAAGGTGAATGAAAAAGACTACACACCTAACTATGTTTCCATTGGCCCATTTCACAATAGAAACAAGAGGCTAAAATCAAGGCAACAATTAAAATTGTGGTACCTCCACCAATTTCTGAAGAGAACCCAAAAGGATTCATTTGATCATTATGTTCTATTCCTGGAAGAGTCAGAAGATAAAATCCGACGTTGTTACTCAGAGACCATAGAGATGGAAAGCAGCCAATTCGTAAGCATGATTTTGATTGATGCTGGCTTCATTATTGAGTTGTTTCTTGCTTTTAGCGAGGATCAATCAAGTGTTGATGACCCTATTGTCCGTAGATTGTTATGGCCAATATATGATATAATAGTAGACTTGATTTTAGTTGAAAATCAATTACCATTTTTTGTTCTTGAAGATATATTCCACCAAACTTTTCCCGATGGATTCAAGGATAAGCTTTCATTTCTTGATCTTACCATCCCTATTTTCGTGTCCTATTTGTCAGCAAACTTATATTATATCCCATCTAAAGGAATGTTTGACCAGTCTACCTTTCCATACCGAGAGGAACACCTCTGTGACGTATTAAGGGCAATTTGCTTACCAAGTAATCCTCCAGAAAGAATTAGATATTGGGCATCATTGAAGCGTTCATACAGTGTGAGTCAACTATATGAATCAGGAGTTAAATTACAAGCTCACCCAGGTAAAAAGTTAACTGAGGTTCTATTTTCAGAAGGGGTTCTAACAATACCAAGAATCAGGGTGAGTAATTTGACTGAGAAGTTGCTGAGAAATGTGGTTGCTTTTGAGCAATGTCACTATCCTTTGAAGCACTACGTGACTGATTATATAGTCCTCTTAGATTTTCTTATCCAATCTGTCAAAGACGTTGAGATTCTTGCTGAAAAGGGGAACATGGAGAGTTATCTTGACAGTGATGCAGTGGCTTCCATGCTTAGCAATCTACGCAAGCATGTTGTTGAAATAAGCGTCAATAGTGATTATGCCTCTTTACATAAAGGGTTACATGAGTTTTATAATGATCCTCGTCACGAGTATAAAGCAATCTTTGTACGTGAATATTGGAGCACTCCCTGGAAAAAAGCTTCTTCTTTTGCTGCAGTTCTACTACTTTTTCTCACTTTAATCCAAACAATAAGTTCTATCATCCCTTTGTTCAACAAGTAGTTGAAAAATCTTGTATTACTCTCAAGCCCTGAATAAATTTTGTACTTATTATATATTGCTATTATGTGAGAACAACTATTTGGAGTATGCAAACTTTTTTAATTGCAACATTTTTTTTAACCATTGCCCTCATTATTGTAGTAAACCCCATCATCTTATTAAGCGTCTCTTAATTGCAAAATAATGATATAAATTTGAGTTATGTAATTAAATTTAGTCAAAATATCAATAGCTTTAACTACGAGTATAGTCTTGGAATGTTATAACAATTTCTTAGGGGAAAAAGGTCATATGCTTAACTAGTTTCAAACATCTCTCACAATTTTGTGTGATCAAATTAAGAAAAATCTTCTACTTTTTCTCATAATAATTATCTACTTTTTTCATAAATGTTTATTTGGCCCAACAACCATGTTTTTTTTTTTTTTGGTTAAAGCATAGGTATCCTCCTATTAAAGACAATCCTGGTCGAAGCATAAGTACGCAAACTTTCTTTTCCGATTTGCCTTGTTCTTGTTTGTTTTGTTTGTGTTATTGCTATGAGATACTACCCCACGACTTAATATAGGCTATCTACTTAATATAGGCTATAACTTGCTTTAAATTATAGATTTCATACATATAAAAAAGCTGAGTTGAAAGTTCGTTAGAGAATTTATTTCACCAAATTTTCAAATATTTTTTTATTATTGCCCTCATTACTGTAGTAAATTCTATAATCATATTAAGTGCCGCTTAATTGAAAAATAAAGATATAAGTTTGAGTATATTTAAATATGAGCCAAAAATCAATGACTTTAACAACGGGTTGTCTTGGAATGTCATAACAGTTTCTGAGGGATAAAAGAGCAGTAGTCTTAACTAATTTTAAACATCTCTCACAATTTTACATGATTTAATTAAAAAGATCTACTATTCTCATTGTAATTATCTATTTTTTTCCAGAAATATTTATTCCACCCAACAACCCAATTGGTCCAACCAAGTTGGATTGATTTTTTTTTTCAATCTTTTTTACTTTTTGAAAAATGGTTTGTTTTTGTTAAATTTATGAAGGAAGGTTTTGGGCTATTTTAAGAAACTATTGGAACCTATGCCTGTAAAGGTGGGCTAGGTCCCAAATATTATCTTATGTTAACAAATGAGATTGTTGAACAGGAAAATAGATTGCAAATATAATGTAAGAAAAAAGTGTGCTTTTAGTTATGTATTAATTTAATGTAAGTTTTCAATCGTAAATTCTACTTTCCTTGCTGGGGATAATCCATTTATGTCTTCTAGAAAGAATTCAGGAATTTATTAACTACTGGTATGTCTTCTATTCTCAACTCTACTTTAGCTTGTATTGACAAGAATATCATATACCTCTAACATCCCTTATGCAGACATTTCTCGTCCTTCTAGAAAACTTCTAAAACTCCTACCAAAAAAGTTCTGATAACTTGCCCATTTCAAGCTAATTTTAGTACTTCTATGTCTAAAATCTAGAATGTTACACATTGCCCCCATAATCAAAACCATCATTCTAGTCAAGCACACAACTCTCATAATCAAAACCACCATTCATAATTAAGCACACAGCTCTTTTAATCGTAATTAATACCACCATTCATAATTGAACACAAAACTCTTGTAATCAAAATCATCATTCATAATCAAGTACTCAACTCCCATAATCAAAATCGCCATTCATAATTGAACACACAGATCTCTTATTTGAAACCACCATTCATAATTGAGCACACAGCTCTTGTAATCAAAACCACCATATATTCATTAAAGAATATAGGCACTATGGCCCAAACAAACATGCAGAACTATTGTACAAGTATATGAGAGAAAGAGTTACTACCTGTTAACCTTTCTTCGAATTTACCTTCTCCAGAATCCTTTCTTGTTTGTCCCCTTAATGGGATCGGGCGTATATCGAATCCTATATTTTAAGTTTATAAAGAGATATGTCAATGCTTAATCCATTTACCTGTTATTATCAACATATAACCCCTCTTGACCCACTCTAGGACTCTATCCCTTCTATTTATTAGTCGATCATCGTGGATAATATTTTTATACTTACATTATCTATTTGAAGACATTGGTATGCCTTCCTCCTTTTTCTTAATAACTGGCCCTTTTCGTCAAAAGTTTATAATATATATACATATCATATCCAATGTAAATTTCTCTTTTAATTCTTCTATTACTTCCCTATTCAAGTTCTTACTAAAATCTGGAAATTTTCCAGATTTGAAGCAATGCTGAACCTATAATGACTTAATTAACTCTCTTTAAACATTGATTCATATTTTATAGGCATGAATCAACACCCCAAGTGTAACAAGATTCAATCAAAATCATCTCCATCAACTACACCTACTTACTATTTCGCCTTTGTGTATACGCATATCTAATGCTCTATTCTTCTCATTCGTAATATTTAAACTTTCCTTCTCCTTTCCAGCATGATTCCCAAAACTCCACAAAATAGAACAAAAGCTTTTAACTTAAAAATTATCTCTTCTCCACCATGCCCAACATCTCATACCAGAATTAATAATCAAATCATGATCTACTATTCATTATATTAAAGTTAGATGCTTCAATACCAGCACAGGGAGTCCGAATGAAAGAAAGAAATAAAATTACAGAACATTAAACCCAAACATAATAGTCAACATGTAACCTGAAAACATACATATATACTGTATTTCCTTCTTCATTCACACCCAAAACTTAACGTGATTCTCTTTATTCATTGGACCCCTATTTTGGTGACTGATAACCAGAGAAAAGAACCAGCACGCAAGCGGAAAAACATGCTCCGTTATCATCAACAGGTATCATTCTTTCATCATGAACAACTGAATCTTCAAAGTCTACATAGAGAGCACATGGCATTCCATTGTCTTCGACAGGGTTAGGGCTAGGATCAAGGTCAGACATTGTCAGTTGCTAGTCTGGTTATTACTGCCCTTCCTACTTTTCATCATAGGTGAATCATGAAACATAAAAAGAAATGAGTTAAGGCATATTAAATAAGTTTAAATGGATGAAATGAACCTTTAGAAGATTTGAGAAGTTATGTGATTCTTACCTGGGAAGCTTCAGACACTCGGGGCATCTGGAATCCGGTCGTGCCCATCATCATCATAGCATGTTGAAACTTGGCATTGAACTCCTCACGTATCTTTTGCATCTCTGCCTTGTGTTGTTCACTGAGTTTAGCTCGAACTCTCTCCTTTTCTTCTTGTAATCGCTGATCGAAGTCCTCTTTAGATGCCATGTTAGTAGAGGATGATCCAGTGCTTTTTTGTGAACCAGGGCCAAAGAACTGTTTAATGCTAATCCCTTTAGGGGCCCCTCTGACTCTGCCGGGATAGTCAGCCTTTCTAATGGTAGTAGCTAAGATATCTATTCGTCCATGAGGAATAAATGTACCTTGGGATAATTGCTCCTCAAGTGTATCCTATAACATTAAAGCAATAAATTCAATTTAAGATAATTTAAAAAAACAATTAATGAAGCATAATGTATAAATATTACTTACTATCCTCTCAACAACAATAGCAGACTCTATAGTAATATATTGACCCTTTTTAACCCTTGTCACCTTTCATTTTTCTCAGCAAAAAGGATGGTCAATGGGTGAAATGTAGCCAGTACAATATGAAGTAGCAGCCATCTGTGCATTCTTTTTTCAATCCTCCATCATACTTCTTTCCAACCCGCTGTACCATGTGTAACATCCCAAAATTTGAAACCCTAGTAATGGGAATGTGAGAAATGAGGCATAATTGATAAGCATAAGGTATGAGTAAAGCATGGAAGCCCAAAATGAGACGAAACCGACTTTATCGAGTTTAACGGTAATTTTGAGAAAAGTTCTCGAAAATTCCCTAAAAATAGAAAAAGGTCGAATTAGGGGTTTTTGAGTTACATATGATGTTTTGGGAGTGAGAATGGCTCAAAATAAATTTTGGTGAAATTTTCCAAAAAATAATTATTTTTGGGAAAATAGGGAAAAATAAAGGGGAATTAAATTGATACAATTATTTTATTTACCTAAGGACTCCAAAAATTCAAGGAAAAATATGGATACATTCCATAGGAATATATATGAATTTATAAAATTGTTTTCAAGCATTTGAAATGCAGGAAATAATTTTTGGAGAATTTACTTCCGAATTCCTATTGGTAAAGACCCGATTTCAGAGAAAATGTGAAATAAATACCTAGAGGTCTTAAAAATTCCCAAAAATTCCAGATCACACTTTTGGGATAAATAGGGATTTATCATGGAAATAAATGGAATTTTTGAAGCCCTTAGCTATTTTTTCCTAATAGGGGGCAAGAAATTGGGTATTATATGATCAAATAATTTTAAAATTTCCCTAATCAATTCCATTGCTTCCTAATCAGTTTTTACCATTTAGTTCACATCCAACAAGGCCCAAATTCGTGCTCATCATGACCAGAACAGCTGGCTTGTGTGCTGGGCAAATTTTTAACCATTGGATCAACTCTCTTAAAACTTGAGTCAAAGGATGTGAGGCTAAGATTACTCCCTCATTTTGGCCGACTTACACACTTTATTTTGGGGCAGAAATAGCTGCCCAAGGGCAGGTTTTGGGGCAGCAAATGAGGTCTATAAATACCCCCATAATTCAGCCAAAATTCGTGCAAAAATCTGGAAAAATAGGGGAGGTTCTGCACAAATTTTTCTTGGCTTCCAAGCACCCTTCAAACCACTTCCAATCCAAGGCTAATCATCAAGCTTTAATCCAAGACTCCTTAAGGTATGTTTAGACTTTAATTTGATGTATTTTCAATGGCCAAACCGTGATTTAAATTGAGGGGGAAATGCTGTTTCATATTTGTTATGCTGGAAGCTCTAGGAAAGGATAGCAAATTGAGTATGAGCTTGTGTTGTTGATGTTTGGTGATGTTTTGAATGGGTTATAAAAGAAATTAACCTAGGACCTATGAGTATTCAGTTTGGC